AGGCGCGCCCCGAGTGCGGGTGGGAGTGCGCCAGGGGCCGCGGGGGAGAGGGGCTGCGGGAGAGCGTGGAGAGGGGTGTGCGCAAGGTGGACCGGATGTGAGTGCGCGGCCGCCAGGACCAGCGGGAAGGTGTGTCCCGGAGGTGAGAGGCGAGGGCAGGCTGGAGGACAACAACTTTCGCGGCGAGTTGGCGGAGTCTAGCGCCCTGCGCGTTCCCGGGCGAGCGCCGGTGCAGAAAGCCGTTCCCCGCCCCTCTCCTGGGCGACCGGGCGGCGCGTGCGGTCGAGGGATCGCGGACGCGAGTCGAGACTCTCGGGAGCCTCTGACTGGTTGGGCGCTCGCGGACGGCGCACCCTGGGCAAGTTGCTCGGGGCGGCGGGCCTCAGTTTCCCGGCCCGCGAGGGGAGACGCTAGGCCAGAGCGGAGTCCCATCTCCTCCACCCTGAGCGCCCGGAACCCCGCGGCGAGCTGCCGCCTGACGTTGGCAGCCGCTCTCTATTCTAGGAACTGCCCAGGGCTTCCCGGGCGGCCGCCGCGGAGCGAGGTGCTGGGTGGGGAAGCGAGATGGGAGGGGGCAGGGGCTGTGGCCGGGAAGCGGGCGCTCGCGGTGAGGCCGGGTTCAGCCCCACTGCCTGGGTGGGGGGAGACGAAGGCGGCTGGAGCGGTGGCGCCCAGGCTTTGTGGGACTATCCTCAGCCTTGGATAGGGCCCGGAGAGGAAAGAGGTCCCTGCGAGCGGAGGAAACAACGTGACCGACGGAAGAGGCAGGGTTGGGGTGAGAGCAGCCGGAGCCGAGGGGCTAGAAGAGCCAGACAGACTGGAGGCCGTTTGCAAGTTCCGGGGCCCTGCTACAAGTCTACTGGTTAGAGCCTGGTCCCCAAAAGGAAATGAAATTCGACGTGAAAGGGAAAAAAATTTGTTTTTGGCAGGACTCAGAAGAAGCTGAAGAAGATTTCCCGATCTGGACTTCTGGGGGCCTCGAGAAAGGATGTGATTTTTTGAGGGTGTTTGGGAGTCTTGTGATGGAGAGGCCATATATGTGAAGGTGGAACAGGTTCCTGACTAAGTCATGAAGTATTGTCTTTCCCAAGTTTTCCGATGCAAGAAGGGAATGAAAGCAGCTTAATGTGTTTTGTTCTATAAAATGAACGTTTCCAGACCCCTTCCTTTGAAAACCGTTTCTTTGAGCCTGAGTTTGTGGTTCCCACCAGTATTGCAGGTAGTTCTTTTCTGGGAAACAGTCGTGAGTTGAAGGCATATCTGCTTCGAATTCAGACCTTCCTGCTTTCTGTCCCCAGTTGTATGGCCTAGAATATTCACTGTCTCTGAGCGGAAGTGTCTTTATCTATTAAAAGAAAAAAAAAAGGTAAAACAGCTAACTTTTGCAGGACTGTTGTGAGGACTACATATTTCCTTCTCCGTAGACAAAAAAAAATTGGATTTTACTGCTCCTGGAGTTGGAACAGACTGTCATTTTTCCCCAAATTAAAAGATAAACTAGTTATGGATACCAAAATGTAGTGGAGAATAACAAATGAAACTACTTGTATGTTGACAAACCTCAGCAGATTGGGAGGTAGCAATCTTCAGATTAATTTCACAAATGCTCCTAATTGGCATGGACTCTTTCCTACTGAAGGACAGCATGTTTGTTTATTTCCAGTGATTCAATGTTACATGTCCTAAAAGAGAAAGGAGACTGGCCGGGATAATTGGTCTCATTCTTTTCTGAAAAGTTATTAGATTGTTTTCTATTGTATAGTATTTTCAGACATGTCAACTCCTTGGTCCTACTGCAAAACTGCAAGTACTTTAAGCACGGGTGCTTTAGAGCGCACCAAGTATCCAAGGGTTCTTAGCAGCGGTGAACCCTTCTACCTTGTTTCACTAGATAACTTTCAGGTTTTTTTCTAAGTGACAGCTCTTTGCTGTGATTTGTGTCTTCTGGCCTGTTGGTGCTACAGTGGTGCTGCAGAAGGATTTGAATGTTAAGTAGGACCAAGATAAAGTTTCCATCACACCTCGGATTTGTAGCACCTGCTGTTCCATAATCCATACTACAGAATTGCTCTTTTACATGCTAGGGAAGGTGGCTGTGCACAATAAGGGTAGAGCCTCCAAGTGCAGAATCAGAAAACCAGACTTAACTACCATTGCCTGGCAAAACTTACTGTTTCCTTCCACATTTCCCTAGCTCATCCTCCCTGAGAGAGATGAAAAGGCGATTGATCTGGACTGAACTTAAGTCTAGAATTTGTGAATATTTAACTGAGATTGGAAATTTGGAGAAATTCTTATGTAAGCATGTTACTTCTCACAGGAAAAGGGTTTTATTTAACCCTTTTCTCAGGAGTTTGGAAAACATTTCACATCCTTCTGGTTTGGCATTATTTCTTGGTTTGCCAAGTTTTGAACATGTTTTGAGACACATTACTGCAAATACTTTTTTTTTTAAGTTTGAGAAGCACAATTTTATGGATCCCACATCTGTCCAAATCCTAGTCCTTGATTCCCTTTGTTATTTTGCAAGTAGGAAAACAAACCATATCATAATTCTGCTCTGTTTTCCCTAGAAGCTTTTTGCTCCACTGCATACTTCCCATTACCGCCTCGCACTGTCTCCAGCATACACTTAGCACTTTATAGAGATTTTTTTTAAATCTAAGTAAATGATGGCTGGATAATTTTGTGAATATACTTAGAACCATTTAAATGTACATTTAAAATCATTGGACTTTACACTATAAAGTTATATGAGATAAAATTTATTTATAAAAGTTGTATGAGAAAAAGTTATTTTCCTCCTTACTATATATGGTGAATTTCTACAGAAATGATATCTTTTTCACCTTAAAGTCTTTTTTGGCCAATATATAATTTGGCACATAATAAAAGATCAAGTAACATTTGTTGAATAAACAGTTTGCTCTAAAGATTAAATGGGAATGTATGAAATGGTACCTATCTTGCATGGTGATATATAGCAGGAAGCATACTTTTCTCAATCTGTTAAATTCGTTCATTTATTTGTGGTATCACAATGCTAGCATGGAGAATACAAAAATGGATAGAGGTCACTCACTCTAAAGAAGTACATCAGCAGATATATAAAAATATTCCATTATAATATTCCAGGGCCACATAAACTTTGTGAGAGCATAGAAGAGAGAACATATTCAGTTTAAGGTTAGGGAGGATGTCATCATGGGAAAATGATGTTGGAAATAGGTTTTCAAGAAGTAGGGATGTGCTAGATGGAAAAGTAAGAGAGAAAATGCATGTGGGGTGGAAGGCGTAACACCTGCAAAGGCACAAAGAGGTATAAAGCCCATGTGCTCCGTGACTAAAATCAAGCCAAATGTTAAGAAGTAAGTTTGAGAAAAAAGAGAACAGAGAAAATAATGGGGAAAAGGTTTCCAGAATTACAGACATGGGTCTTCAGATTAAAGGGATTTACTAAAAACCCATCACAAATGGCCCAGAAACAAAACAAAACACATTTTTGTGAAGTTAGAACTCAGCCAAGTTCAAAAAGCATCTGAAAGAAAGTAGGTTACCTTGGAGGTTCTTCAAACTGTTTAACATGGAGCTTCCCTATGACCCAGCAATCCCACTCCTAGGTATCTACCCAAAAGACACAAAAACACTGATTCAGAAAGATCCCTGCACCCCCAGTTTATTGCTGCTTTATTTACAATTGGAAAAACATGGAAGCAGACCAAATGCCCAAAAGTAGATGACTGGATTAAAAAGATGTGGTACATATATACAATGGAATATTACTCAGCAACCAAAAAAAAAAAAAGAAACACATGTCTTTTGCAGCAACTTGGATGGAGCTGGAAAAGATCATGCTTAGTGAGATAAGCCAGAAAGAGAAAGAAAAATACCATATGGCGGGCCTCCCTGGTGGCACAGCAAGTTAAGGCACAGCACTGGGAAGCTGGAGCCACTTCCACATGAGTTCTATCCCCACTGCCCCGGAGGTCACCACATGGCTCGGCAGACCTCTCCTGCTCCCCACAGCAGTGTACTTCGTCAGTCTGCCTGTTCTGCTCCCCACTCTGTCTCTGGTGAATCCTCTCACCCTCCACATCTCTGGCCTGTACCCCAGTTGTATGAAAAATAAATAAATCTTTAAAAAAAAAGAAAGGAAGAAAGAAAAATACCAGGTGGTTTCGCTCATAGCAGGAGTATAATGGACCAGGTGAGAAAATAATAAGAATAATGAACAGCCATATACCAGAGACATTTTGTGGGGATGGAGTGGGGAATGGGATAAAAAACGGGGGGCGGGGTGGGGGAGTGCATGGGACTATGATGATGGCACACGAGTAACTCAGTGAAGGGAAACCATGGGGATTACAATTAAGATGAAAAAAATGTACAAAATGATGTAAATATAAACATTATATTATAAAGAAAAA